TTACAGTAAATTTCTCTCATCTACTTCTTGTTATTATAAAATGGTTTACATTAGTTTACCATAAGTTTAGTGATTATACTGATTATTTTTCAGAATTTTAGTTATAACGTGATTTACTTGTTATTAAATTTAGGTGTACTTCAATGAGTACAATGGGCGTATGGGAGTATTTTTGATATTTTACAATTTTGTTACAGATCTGACATCTGTAGATGATTTTTAGAATATTAGAGTCCAAAATTTCTATGGAAAGAAATAAGAAGGCTACCTTTAGCTTAAGAAGATATTGCTCCTTCTAATTTACGGTCTGAGGTGGATATTATTATTATTCCTCCATACCAAGATATGCTTACTAACAAGGAAGATTTAAGGATGATAACCTCATAGAAAACATTTGACACTACCTAAAGTCGTAGGAGAAGTTAAAGTTTATTACTCTTCAGATAAAGACAAATACTTAGGGGATTTACCTTTGGCACTACGGTTAAAAATATTACGAGAACAAAAGTGTTTAGGCTCACAATGAACAAAAGCTTGTGCAAATAATAGCATGGTAGGAACTTTGGAGTAAAATGGGCGGTTTAAAATCGCTTAATATAAATTACAAGATTTAAATAAAGTAGAGATATTTAAAAAAATAATAACTGTCGATATATTTGATAACAAAGATACCCAAACAATCATAGTTTATTTAAATCCAAGGCAGATATAATATTTTTCGGTGTATTACTACTAACAGGATATCTCCAGATACCCAGTGAAAGAATGTACTTGAGCCTTTTTAAAGATTTAAATGTGCCGTTTGTTTGTACATCTATGTACGGAAATAATTTTCTAGATATAAAACATTACATTCACCTTGCCGACAATACAGTATTGCCAACACATAAAAAATGACAAGAGTTCGACCTCTGCTAACACGACTGAATCAGAATTACAGATATTGGGGTATTTTTCATAAATATTTGTGTTGATAAATCTATGGTTAAATTTTTTGGGATATATACCAGTAAGCAATATATAAAAAGTAAACCTATTAGATTCAGCTATAAAAATTGGTTGCTATGTAGTACCAATGGTTGTTGTTATGCCGTAGATACTTATTGTGGGGCCAAAAATATTGATAAGAAAGTAGCCTACCATTAGAATCACTAGTAATTCCGGATATGTATATAACTTTTATAAGTTGTAAACATTCATACATACAAACGTACATATTATTAATATAAAAATTCTCCAGTATATTATTTGTAACATAAAAAGATTGACTATGTCTACAAATTACGACTCTATAACACCTATTGCATAAATAAAATGATGGTCAACTGCTGCTAAGACCAAAGTAGATGTTTCTCAACCTGCTTTATATAAAAATTATAATAAGTCCATGGGTGGTGTAGACCTACATAATCAGCAACTAAACAGGTACCGGATCGGCATAGGAGCAAACAAATGGTGGTGGGTGTGGGCGTTTTTGACCAATAAAATAAACATGACTGTTGTAAATAGTTGGAGATGGTATCAGCTGACCAAAGATCAACAAAGCAGTCTTCTTGATTTTCAACGAGTACTTGTACGGTAATATTTAGGTCGTGACACCAAATCATTATATATGAAATCCAGGCCATCCGGAAATATTCTGCCTATCGCCAGCAAACATGAAGGAGGACACTTTTTAAAAAACAACCATTAACACAATTCTCAACAAAAAACCAGACCATAATTTTACTGGTAGATTGTATATGAAAGTACATATAGTACTTTAAGAGAGTAGATGAAATAAGAACAGAAAAGTACACCATTGCAGTAGGAACTAGAGTCCATCCAAAAAATGTCAAACGGAAGAATTTGCATCTACCTTTTAAGCATACAAGTCGTAGATGATTTTCTAAGTCAAAATGGTGAAATTAAAATTGGAGAACATACAATCAAAAATACATAAACTAATTATTCCCGCTAATAGATTAGTTTTATTCAACGTAAATATGTCCATCTATACCCCTAGACATAATGAAACATTCTTTAATCAATCTTGGTTTTAAATTAATGTCTCTGATTTTGTTCTTTAAAACTTAAATACAAGGCCCGCAATACAGCCATGTACTTAGTTTTCGAGGACAAGTAGTCTACTTTGCACCTACAGACAATTTTACTATACTCGACTCCATCCTAATTGATTTTGAAAATATTTCGTACCAAATTTTTCTTTCTGATAAACTAACTTGTTATAAAAGCCACCAAGCTGGTCACGTTTCCTCGGACTCTACTTCAAATCCCTCTTAACCACAAAATACTCAAAAGCCCCAAACGGAGGAAAATGTTCTTCCACAAATACCATCCACTAGATCCGATATGCTGATGATACCGCGCTCATAGCAGAAAACATCGACGACCTACAGAGATTACTAAACAAAGTGGTAGAAGCAAGTGGAGAATTTGGTCTGTCACTGAATACAAAGAAGACCAAATTCATGATAATTACAAAGAAACGTATCAATAATATCAACTTACATGTAGGACAGAATCTCATTGAACGAGTACAAAATTACAATTATCTCGGAACAAATATTAACGAGTCAAACGAATACAACAGAGAAATAAGAATAAGAATAGAGAAAGCCCGCAGTGCCTTTAACAACATGAAACAAATGTTGTGTAGCCGAAACCTAAGCCTAAAGCTAAAAATACGAATGCTAAAATGTTATGTTTTCTCGGTCCTGTTATATGGGGTGGAGGCGTGGACAATAAATAAGCAATGTATGGGTATACTGGAGGCATTTGAGATGTGGGCGTACCGAAGAATGATAAAAATCTCCTGGAAGGATAAGATAACTAACCAAGTTGTATTAGACAGGATGAACAAACAAAAGGAGGTCGTATTGAGTGTTAAAATGAGGAAACTACAATACCTGGGACATATTACACGTAGGAACAAATATCAACTGTTACAACTAATTATGCAAGGAAAGATTGAAGATAGGCGCAGCATAGGTAGGAGAAGAATGTCATGGTTAAGAAACCTCAGGGAGTGGTTTGCTTGCACTTCCATACAATTGTTAAAAATACCATACAAAAAGAAGAAAAAATTTATCAAATTAGACAAATCCATTTCAGAAACTACTAATATTGAGTCATTATTACAACCAGTCAAACAATTTATCCAGGATGCATCACCACCATGTGTACTAAATTACACCCAATTACTAGCATTCTTAGAAGACGTTCACGGTTCTTCCGCCTTAGTAGAACTGGCCCTAGAATACACACAGAATATACACGAGTTGGGACATATGCTAACTAAAATATATCCCATCTTGACCGAAAGAGCAATTAAATCTAGAATTATAAGAATCAAGAAAAAACTACTTAATAAAATAAACCAAGATTTTAGTATTCAGGGTGACACCTCTGAAGAGACTGACGCATCATAGAAAAAGACTCCTTCCAACGATAAATAAAAAAAGTAATCAAAATGGCTATTATTCAGTGGAACATTCAATCCTTATTTACATACACAGAAATGCTACAACTTTAAATTAAAAAAACACATCCACAAATCATCTGCTTACAAGAGACAAATTTCACAACAAATAAAAAATACTCATTAAAACAATATTAGAAACCATAAAATTAGACCAAACGCAGGTAAAGCTAGCGCCGGCGTAATGCCATATCTAATACCCTACAACATATATCAAACCAGCCTAAATTGTAAGCAGTAATTTTAACAGATTCTTTAAGCGCAGTACAAGGAATATTAAGGGTTTACCCAAACCACCCAATACTATGCCAAATTAAAATTGGTCTAGAAGCACTTTACAGTAAAATTAAAGGGTAGAATTTGTTTGGATTCCATCTCATGTAGGCATAATAGGTAATGAAAAGCTGGTCGGGAAGCTAAAGATGCATGCTATACGAATAGACCAGATAGGGAGCTCCCAGGAATATTCCGACATTCAAAACACTATCAAAGAATTTTCAATGAGAATATGGCTCAAAAGATGGAAAAAACTTAACGACAACAAACTACTACTTATTAACACAAATTTGTCACTAAAGGGATAATGCCACAAAAACGACGAAATCAAGTCATGCAACACCACTTAAGAATATAACATACCAGGTTAACTCACCAGTACCTAATGAAGAAAGAACAACAAAAAAAAGTTTTAACACATTATTTCTAGTTTCCAATTTTATCACCTAAAACGACTTCAAAGTGATTTACCAAGTGATCTGAAAAGTGCTCTAATAGTGAATGTGATAAAGTGACTCAGTTCCTAAAAAAAACTAAAATTGTACAATCTAAGATAAAAATAAACACTTCTCAATTCTAATTAGTTGTTATAAGCAAACATTTGATTTTATGTACAACTCTTCCACGCCAATAACCTTTCATGGTTGAGGCGGTTTCCTAGTCATCACAGCTATCTACTTCCTGAAGCTAGAAAACTTACTAAATAGGTAATATTATATATATATATATATATATATAACTATAGTATATAATGTGTAATTGTATCTTATATATAATTGTATCCACGGTGCCTCGTGCTAATGGCCGAAGCTGTCACAAGTACGTTAAATTAAATAAAAAAAAATGTTTCATAAATATTTCCTTACTGATTACTTATGAAGATTACTAATAATTATGTATGAGTCAAATTTTAAAACTTGAAAAATTTGGCATTATTTTTACTGTATATTGGCTTTGATTTAGCTAATTAGCCAGAATTTGGGAAGTGGTTAAATAAATTATATTAAATAAACAAAAAAATAAATAAATAAAATATAACTATTATAAATATACACTTTTGGTAAATCGTTCATTTTTTGTCGTCAAACTTCAAAAGGATACACAAATATTACCAAATTGATGGTCAATAGAAAGTTAATTTGCTAAAATCTACCTACAGACACTGTGTTGATGAGTCTTATAACACAAATATAAGACAGAAATAATTACCAAATTACAAAACAAATAATTAATGATGCCATACCTTCTTGGCGACCTCGATCCAGTTATTGCCATCTGAGTGAGTTGTCTGCTTTGGCCACCAACAATAATGATAAACGGAAATATTTGTTAAACACAAATATCGAAATTAATTACAAACGTTAATTGGTGTAAACATTTAAAGATCTCACCTTGCTTTTGAAATCCTTGACGAGAACGCTGACAGTTTCCTAAAAGTATAACAAAATATTTATTATATTTTCAAAGTTTCAACAAAAGTTAAGCTAATATTTAAATTATTTGGTTTTTTTATTTAAAGTACGTTTACCTTATTCATGTTCTAAGTATATTATGGAAAATATAATTCCTAATTTCTATTAGGCATATCTATGTTTCGTGGACCTTAGAAAGGCATTTGACCGGATCAATTTAAAGACGTTATCCACTTACTGTACGCAAGAGAGATACTTCTAGGAATAATTAAAACGATCGAAAATATCTACCAAAACAACACAATAAAAGTAAAAGTAGAAGAAGAACTAACCGACCCCATTTAAGTTGGCAATGGGGTAAGACAGGGAGATTCATTGAGTCCTTTATTGTTCAACCTCATCATGGATGAAATATTAAAAAAGTAGGAATTGAAAAAGGATATCAAGTGAGAGATAAACAACTTAAAATAATCTGCTATGCAGACGACGCAATATTACTCTCTTAAAGTAAAGATTATTTACAACGTACAATCATCGTCAGCTAACTTGGTGAGGGATTACGCAGAACGTCACAGAGAAATAAATTATGTTTACGCCCTATGATTCTTCCTATTGGTTTACTATTTCTGATAAGTATATTCAGTAGCGTAGCGGTATAATAGGTCAAATAATTATTACACAATTTTATTAAAAAAGTAATATTTTTCGCAAGCTTTAATATATTATTAGAAAGATGAAATTGTAATTTTGGTTTATTTAATTTAAATAGTAAGCCATTGGTTTATAATATTTATTTGACTTAGTAAACAAATTATACAATAATGACTGAATTTATTTCACAAATCTACGTTGATATTGTGTTTCAAATTAAATGGAGGATATTGTATAAATAAATGCAACACAGCAATTATTTAATTTTAATATTTTGGTTTTATTATAATACTAAAACAAGTACCCGTGTTTTTTAGTGGTATCTATTTGAAAATAAATGGATTGTTAATAATTTTCTTCATTTTCATCTTCGGAAGAAGAAAACTCTGTACTGGAAGAGTCACTGTCAAGATTTATAATAATTGGAGCTATTTGCGTGGCGTTATCAGCAACTGTTTCGCTGTCCATATACTCATCTTCCTTCTTAATGACATGGTAACATCGTTTTCTCCACTCATTTGCATCAATATTAGTGAATTCTTCCTCGGCGAGTTTTTGTACGTCAGCTAGCTTAAATGTAACGTTTTTCTGCCTCATATTATTTTTGACTGTAGCCCATATTAGTTCAATAGGGTTTAGGTCAGGATGGTAAGGAGGTAAACGTAAAGGAATATGGCCATGCCCACGTAGAATTTCGTCGAATTTGTATTTTACATGATAAGGTTTATGATATTTAATTATTTCATACAGTTCAGGTTTTAAAGCACTAGGTGTAAATGAAATATTTTTCTGCATTAACCATTCTATCATTTGATTTTTGTTTGAGTTTGATGTAGGCGCCCGCTCCAACTGAATGCTGTGGTAAGGTGCGTTATCAAAAACTAATACCGATAATAGCAGGTAAATTAGGTAATAAATGTCCTTGTAACCACTTTCCATAGTTGTCTGAATTCATTTGAGAGTGGTAATCCCCTGATTTTGAACCTGATTTAAAGATTAATAAGCCATTTTTTATGAATCCCATATCCCCACCGGCATGCACTATTATTAGTCGTTGACTTTTGAAAATATTTGAAAATAAGCCCTTGGTTGATTCGTCAGTCCAGTTCTTTGAAGAAGTATGACCGCTGTGTAAGTAGGTCTCGTCAACATACACGATTGGCCTATTTTGACTTCGAAAATATTTGATTTGCCTGAGATATTTTATTATCAAAGCTCTTATTGCACTTTTTTCTACAAGCACTTTTCAGTTGTTTTTGGTTTTCCTCCAACGAAATTGCATTTTGCGTAGAAGTCGCCTTAAAGATGTTTGTGAAATTGTGATATCCAAATCGTTGTGAATTTTTTGTTTTAATTTTTTTACCGTAACCCGACATTTTTCTGTTTTATAAAAATCGTAAATTATTCTGCGAATGTCGCTTTTGAAATAATTAAACACATTAAATATAATCTCCCGAGATTCTCTACTAATAACAGAATTATTTTTTCTACTCGCCATCGTTAGAAATTGTCACAAATACAATTAACTATCCGAAATAATAAGAAGTCTGAAAAATAATAGCCGCAAATCACTTAAGTGTTACGCAACTGATAACTGATAAACACATTAAATATAATCTCCCGAGATTCTCCACTAATAACAGAATTATTTTCTCTACTATTTTTCAATGCCATCGTTAGAAATTGTCACAAATACACTTAATTATCCGAAATAATAAGAAGTCTGAAAAATAATAGCCGGGAATCACTTAAGTGTTAGGTACGCACCTGATAACTGGGAGGAGACTAAAGACCACCACCTAGCCACTAAGCAATTTTGGGTTTGTGCGCACCGCCAAGTTAGCTGGCGATGACAGTATGCTGCACCAATTTAATATAACCGCCAGAAAATTTAACATGTTAATTTCTCAAAAAAGACAAAATGCATGGTTACAACAGCAAATTTACTAAGATGTAAATTGGAGCTGGAAGGGCAGATAATAGAACAACTGATGAAGTTTAAATATCTAGGCATCATAATATCGAGCTATGGAAAGCTCAAAACCGAAGTGGAAGATCAAGTAAATAGAGCAAACAGAGCCGCAGGCTGCCTAAATGAAACAATATGGAAAAATAAAAATATCGGGAATGAGACGAAAGGAAGAATTTACAATACAGTCATTAGACCAATAATGACATAAGCGGCAGAAACAAGACCTCATACATAGAGTACAAAAAGAATGTTAGAAATAGCAGAGATAAAACACTTAGAAAAATTGATGGTAAGACACTATCGGACAGAGCTAGAAGTACGGATATATGACGTAGATGCCGGGTGGAGAACATCAAAAACTGGGTAAGAAATAGAAAAGTAGAATAAAACGATCATATAAGCCGAATGACATAAAATAGAGTAGTAAGGACGGCAAGATACGGTTCCACAGTAGGAAGACAATCAGTAGGTAGACCACGAAAATGATAGAATGACAACTTACTGGAGGCACATTGAAAACCAGACAAAGTCATGTCTATATAAAAATAAAAAGAAGAAGAATTTCTTTTAGATATTACACAGATAAGTTATACTTTTAGAAGAGCTAGGTACACCTTTTTTGAGCCAGGTGCTACACATATAAATTCAATTTTTCTTCAAAGGTCTAATAAGAATTTTATAAATAAGACAAATAGGCAAATAAAATGACACAAGCATTATTTTATTTTATTTTTTAATTTTTATTTAAAATTTTGTTAAAAAAAGTCAAATAGGGTAAATCATACAGTTATTGAACACTAAAAAAATTTCAACTTCAAAAATTCGTAATTTACATTATTATCTGCAGATTGAATTGAAATTTATAAAAACGTACTTTATTACAATATGGCTAAGAGATTTAAAGAAAGTGTTAAACCTTTTTGTGAATATATATATTTATTAAAAATAGTTACAAAAATTATAGTTATTGGACAGTTTATTTAGTTACAGGACACTCAATGTTAGTTATTGGACAACTGCTTTAACACAATAAAAAACTATATATATATACATCGGTTTAGAACGTCTTTCGACGTTGTCCGATACCTAAACACCATCTCTTCCTATCTTCGCAGTCGTTTGTTGTTAAATTTCTTTCGCTCATGGACTTGTTTACGCCGTGTTAACCTATCGGTTACCATTCTACTACTTTTTTGGGGAGTCTTGTTGCTGGCATCCGTTAAAAATGCCCATACCACCTTAATTGTTTATTCTCTATATCTTGAGTTATATTTCCTTCTATTCCCATACGTTGTTTTATTACATCATTTCTGATTCGGTCTCGTCTGGAAATACCTAAAGATCTTCTCATTACATCCATCTCTACTGCTTCTATTCGCTTTTTGTTCTTTTCACTAATTCTCCATGTTTTAGCGCCATAACGAAGAGTAGTTTTAATCATGGTCTCATATATATTAAATTTTCTTCCTTTCGTTATCTCTTTACTCCACAGTATACCATTGAGACATCCTAAGACCTCTTTGCTTGAATGATTCGTTTTTCTATTTCCCGTGTATTAGCTCCTGTATTGTCAAAGGCAACACCCAAGTAGTCATAGCTCTGACAGCAGGAAATATGTTGTCCGTTTTCGAGGTCTATGTTATCTGACTCGTTTCCAATACAAAGATATTCGGTTTTTATTGTATTGACATTCATTCCCCAGTCGTTATATTCTTCTATCAGTTTTCTAAGCATGTACTGCATGTCGTCCCTGTCGGCCACTAGTACTACTACTAGTCAGCAAACTGGAGTGTATTATATACATTCATTGCTAAGTTCTATACCCATCCTATGCACCTTTCTTTTCCATCTTCCCAATACTGCTGCAACATATATCTTGAATAAGGTTGGTGAGATACAGCATCCCTGTCGCAAGCCTTTTGTAACCACGAATTCTTCCGTTAGATATTTTCCTGTTTTTATCTGTGCCTTTGGGTCTCTATATAGTTCTTGTACAGCATTTATCAATGTGTGGTCGATGTTAGATCTTTGCAACGTTGTCCACAATTTTGTTAAGGGGATGTTGTCATATGCTTTTTGCTGGTCTACAAAAGTAATATGAGTTTCTAGATTCTTAGCTGATCTTTTTTCTATTATTTTTTAAGACAAAATACGTTATCGGTGCACGATCTTCCTGCACGGAACCCTCTTTGTTCTTCTTCTTCATTGTGCTTATATTCTTCCTCGATCATATTTCTCAAAATTCGTCCATACAGTCTGTTCAGGGTGCTGGTTACCGATATGCCTATATAATTATTACAATTCCTTTTGTCCCCCTTTTTGTGTATTGAGGACATGTATGCTGTTCTCCGCTGTTCTGGTACTGGGTGTCCATTTAGACACTGATTGATCACAT